ACAGTATTCAATAGGGTCACTTTGCTACTGTATTATATTATGTCCAAGTTGAAAAGATATTACTTATTTATTAATTTAGTTATGTGATATCTTTAGTGATTCTGCAAAATCTATTTGTAATTTTATTAAGATTTACTAGTTAAGGAATTGACTTATCTGGTATTAGTATATTGAGATTTTTTCTTATATATGCTTTTTTAGATAGACAGAATAAATATATGCTTTACTAGGTAAATAGAATAAATAGATTCTTATTTATTTAGAAATTGATTGTAGTTATTTGATTGGCTTTTAGTTGATTAATTGGCTATGCATATGATCTTTCATTTAATTGTTATTATCGTACAACTGTGAGATTTTTGTAATAGATGATTAGTTTTATAGATAGTACAGTACAGAATTTTTATTTTGCAGTATAATATATTTCAAAAATTAATTATTTTAAAGTAAAAGTATTCGAGTTTTGAATATTCTTTTTTGTAGTTTATATAGCCCTCCAAACTGCTATTTTTTAAAATGTATTGTTCATTTCCAAATTAATATATTAGTAATTATAATTGTACTATATGAGATTTATTAAGTTTGTTTGAATAGAGTTTTATTCTGTTATCATTTTTACTAGGATTTTTATATTTCTTATGGATTGTTCTTTAATAGTTCTGTAATTTCTGTCAATTGTGGCTGAGTAATGTTTGGTTAGTAATAAGTTTTGTTTTATGCCACTTTTCATTGATTGATTGATTTCAAAGTGGAGAAAGAATTTCTTTTATAACTACTTCCTTAGTACATAACCTTTATAACTTACTGGATGATTTCTATCATTATTGTAACATTTCACTTTGATCTTTCCTATTGTGACCAATCAGTCAATAAATAATTTTGTGCATTTTATATATGTTAGAATTCTGATAAGCAATAATTTTTTTGAATGCATTGGATTTAATCATATGGCTTTTATCATAGTAGTTCATTTTTTCTATTAATATTATTATATTTTGTTAATTTTGAAAATTTTTTTGTTATTAGTACTTTATCCAAGTTCTACAAGAAATAATAATAATGATTGCTATGATTGTATCATATATTATTTGAGTATGAAGTGCATATAATTACTTTATATCATATATTATTTATTGAATATAAAATGCAACTGATACATATAATGATTTTTTACAAAAAAAGAAAGAAATAGAAAATAAGAAAACTTTTTACTTTAGGTTTCAAATTATTTATTTTTTCGCGAATCAAATTTGAAAATTCACTACATATATATAAATTTAGTAAAATATAATAATTCTTATTATGCTTGTTTACATGAGTTTCTCTTCTTTGTACAGCAAATAAATATTCCTTAATCATTACTATGAAATATACAAATAGGAAATTTTTCAATATAATTATATCTTTTAGAGCTAGTAATTTATCTACTTTTTTACTATGTACATATGTATTATAAAAAGCATTATTCTAATTTTATTTTTGAGATATATTAAAGATATATTTTATAATAGAGGTATTTATTTATATGTATAATTTTATAACTTAAATCAATTTTTAGAATGTTGTATATCGATATTATAAGTATATATATTTACAATTAAATAGTCATAAAAGTACCTATCAAATCAAAAATGTACAAACGATCAATTTTATAATTGATATAATAGAATATTGTTGATAAAATATATTTTTTAGTTTTCTTTTGAATTATTTTGTAAATGCCAGAAGATGTAATTACGATATAGATTAAAAGCCCATCGACAAATTATATTATATATAATAACTGCATATTTTTAAATTTGGTTTTCTCAAAAAATAATCTTTAACGAAATCTTTAACGAAAAATTTGGTATCTTTTTATTATTTTGTGTTCGTTTATATTATTTTATAAGCTAATATAAGATTTATAAGTGATATTTTTTTTACTAGTTCCTATAGTATAATAAAATTATAATTTTATGTTCAATTATAATTTGTTTCGAAAAACTACATAAGCGATCAAAATATGCATACAGTCAAATCTCAAAATTTGAATCTTAAAGGAAGGAAAAAATCTTTAAGTTATCGAGTTTTTGAGTAAAAAGTAAAAAAGATTGCTTCTTATATATTAGTAATATTGAATATTTTGTACATTCAACATGAATTTGTATTTATACAATAATATCAAATTCTTATTCCTTTTTGTTTTAGACTATGCCTTGGGGTCCATTATCTGTTGTAAAGATGGATACTCCTCAAGAATCAAACGATGGTCCAATTTTATGGATTAGACCAGGTGAACAATTGGTTCCAACAGCCGATATAAATAAAAGTCCTTATAAACGGCGCAGAACGGGCATTAACGAGTTACGGAATCTACAGTATTTGCCACGTCTTAGTGAAGCTCGTGAATATATGTTTGAAGACCGTACTAAAGCTCACGCCGATCATGTTGGTCATGGATTAGATAGGATGACAACAGCAGCAGTTGGTATATTGAAAGCTGTTCACGGTGGACAGACATCTGAATATAACAGAATTACGAAAGATGTTGTAGCTTTCTATGCTGGCGATTTTCCTGAACTAGTCGAAAAATTACAATTAGATCTTCATGAACCACCAATTTCACAATGTGTACAATGGGTTGAAGACGCCAAATTAAATCAGTTACGTAGACAGGGTATTCGTTATGCTAGAATAAATTTATATGATAATGATATTTACTTTTTACCGCGTAATATAATTCATCAATTTAGAACGGTTTCCGCAGTTTCAAGTATAGCATGGCATGTCAGATTAAAACAGTATTATCAAGAATCGCAGCACAATTCAAGTGTTAGACGTGTTGGAAACGAGCATCGCATAAAAGAAAAGAAATCATTGGAAACTGTGATTATAGGAGATGAACAAAAAGAAAATACAAATCGTCAACGTATAGAACAAAAACATTCTGTTGATTCGCTTGAAGAGAAAAAAGCAAAAGAAAGAGCTGCTGAATATCAAGGAAATTTAAAGAAGTCAGATCATCATGGAAAACGTAAAGAGGAACGTAAAAACAGAGATCATTCAAGACATTCTTCCATTTCAAGTAAAAGGAAAGATTCTATAGAGAATAATGATAACTGTTCAGATCTTTTTAATAATAAATCTACAAAAACTAGTACAATAGAACAAAAACAAAATAATGAAAAGAGAGACGATAAGAGATCTGAAAGGAGACACGAAGAACATCGTCGATCAAATGAAAAATCCAGTCATCATTCACACAGTAGCAGCAGCAGCAGTAGTAGCAGCAGCAGTTGTAGTAGTAATAGTAGTCATAAATTAGATCATAATCGAAGTCATCATAGTCGGTCCAGCACCACTTTGAGAAAAGAAAAAATTTCAAATGTCACAGAATCTAAATCGACGAGTAAATTCAATCCTTCGGGATCTTCATCGAAAGAAAATAAAAGACGATGTGCGTCAGAAGTTTGTTTAGAACATGAAAATTCTGATTGCAATGCTGTTATTCTTGAACAAAGTGTATTAACGCAAAGACAATTGGTAGCGAAAACTTATGCAACCGAAGTTGTTGACAAAGCTTTAGAAATTGCAATATATAAATCAAAGACTGACGTAGAAGAAGTCTGTCAATCTTTACGAACCGGCGTTGCAGAAGCTTCTAAAGAAATTTTAGAAAAAATTCATAAAGAAAGTATTGAAATTGCTGAACTGAAGTACAAAGATGATAAAACAAAACTAGAACGATATTGTCAATTATTGGAAATAGAAACTACATTGGCATTCACATCGAAGATGGAATGTGCAACTGAAAATGCAGTGAAAGCATTAATTGAAATGGCTGAGGATGAAGCAAAAGAAAGATCAAAAAGTGAAAAAGTTTGTATGTTAACTAGCGATAACACGTGTGAACGAAATTCACTACCAACGTCAAAAATTACTAATACCTCTTCTTCAATAGTCTCTACACCTCCTTTAGCAGAAACCGAGAGGCACAATAGTAGAAACGGTAGCGGCGATGAAAATTCATCTAAATTAACATCCGATGTACATACAGTATATACAGAACCTAGACGGAAACATAGAGATGATAAAAGTTCTAGAAATCAGCGACATAAAGACAGAAGAGATCGAGACAGGCGTGATAGAGAACACAAGAGACATCATCATCGAAGTCCTTCGTATAATAAATCTGAGAATAAAACAGGAGAAACTAATAATAAAGAAGATTCATTGAAGATTATCTCACTGCCCAAAGATTGTAACATTTCTAATAAAAGCACCGATCGCACAGATAAAGATGGTGATAGGAAATTAGAAAAAAGAAGAGATGGACATCACAGTCATGGAAAGGATGGACAAAGAAAGTTATCTAGCAATCGTTCATCGAAAGATGATACAGTGTCAAGTCGTTCTCATTCATCAAGTTCAAATCATAAAAGAAAGTCGAGTTCATCTGAAGAGCATAAGGAGTCAAAAAAGACGTGTATCGATAAGGATATAGTCACAACAACAACAGCAACAACCACAGAAGAAAATACTCTCGATACAACTTTAACTCTAATAACAGTAACAACAGTGGCTCAGTCAACAACAACAAATACTGTTGTATCTACGTGAAAAGGTGAAAATTATCTTAAGCTGTAGTACAATCTGCTTATTAGACATGAAAGTCCGCACAATCGAGCACATATGCCGATAATCTTACGTGTGGACTCTAACTGATTTGGATATAGTAAATTTACATTGTATGTTTGAATTTACAGAAATATGAGACGCATACCAAAATACCAAGTATCAGAAAAATATATCAGACGTCTTCAAAATAGAAATAATTGCCACATTTTATGCAAAGTTCAGTTAGTACTATTACTAATGCAGAACTTGCTACATTATCATTTCCATACAATTCTATATGCCTTAGTCTTAGGAAGAAAATTGAAACTGTAAAAGTAGTATTATTGTGTAAAGGTACTTTCTAATATTAATATTGCAAAAATTATTTTGCTATAAAATCCCTAAGCGTCTCATATACTGTTAAGAATGGAAAAAAGATTAAATAAATATTTATAGACTAGGTGACCAATACGATATATGTACAAACGAAATTTGTACAAACTTGTGATTAGACATTCAATCGTCATTAGTGCTGTACATTGTATATAGATTAATACATCGCTCTATTCGAATTTGTGCAGCAAATCTAACTGTATACATATGTACATATATAAATGTATGTACGTATGTGTGTGACCGTATGACTGTGTGCATACGTATGATTTTATACATGTATATGCACATATTGCGTATTCGCGTATATGCATGCACATATGTACGTGTGCGCATGAGTTTTGTGTGTGTGGGTGTGTGGGTGTGTGTATTGTGCGTGGTGCGTGCGCATGCTGTGTGTGTACGTATGTATTTGTATATATGAATATTTGGAAGATAGAAATATAAGTTATTTATGGTTAAATTGAACATTCTCCACAAGTTAAAGGTTTTGATTTACTTCAAAATTTCACTTCCTTTGTTTAAACAAATAAATTAAAGAATGGAACTTGATAGTCGGTCTAACAGAAAATTATTTTGACACTTAAACTACTTAAAATTCATTTTAATGATAAAAAGAGAAACTATATCTTATGTAGTAGTTATTAAATGAAAAAAAATATTATAACGTTCTACCAAAAGTTGTACATTAATAGAATTACACGCGTATTTTTATTTCTCCTATAAAAAAAGTCTAATTATCGTAATGTATTTTTGACGAAACTATGTTAAGTGCTAGCTTTTTATATTTAAAATAATTTTATTTATGCGACGAACTCGACGAAGATGGGCTTCGATAACAAACTCGATGTATATGTATATTTAATCTTGTGTCATATACATACGATTAATATTTAGTTTGATTAGTAAATTAATACAGCGAATTGTTGCAACAAATCATAATACTTTCTGCACTCTGTTAGATGTATAAAAAAAAAGAAACTTGCCTTTCTGGTAAAATGAAAGTGCCGGTAAGTGACCGTGTAGATTTGTGCATATAAAACATTATTTAACAGTAGAAACTGTTGTAAAAAATCAATATTCGTGCAAGTTAATATATTCTGTTCTATAAAAATTATAATTGGCCTATTTAACTTTATTTATATATAAAATTAAACACTATAATACTAATTCTCGGAAATTTCAATTTATTACTATTAGCAACGGTAAAACAGTAGAAAACAAAATATTCGTATGATTTGTACGATTTTTTTAGACGAAGAAATTCTTTTCATTAAAGTAATAAATTTTTTACAAAATTGCATTTTACTTCAAGCAAAGTTTTATAATAATTATCGCTATAAGTACAACGTCTGCTATCACGTATTTTCTGTTTTATTCTTTCTTTTATTTCATTTACATTTGAATTTGTTTTATGTTTCGAGAAAAAATTCGTACTAATCGTTGAATATTGTAGAATTTTCGATCATGGCTTCCATTTGCAAACTTTGTTTCCCAATAAAAAATAAAAAAAAAAAAAAAAAACTAATGCAATATATTTTATAAAACATAGTTTACAAAAAACAAGTAATACTATTTTTATTAAATAATTTTGAATATTTTCTTCATTTGATTGTATAAAATGCTTTCTGATTATGTGAATTTATTTATTTATATAAAACTAAAAGCTTGAAATCTTAAATACACTATATTTTATGAAATATTCAGAATAGTTTGTGTATGTTTTATCTTTCAAATACTTTACGTTATCAAAAGTCTGCTCTTTATAATTAACAAACTTATATTATTTTATAGTATTCCTTTATATTCTTTCTCGTTCTTTTTTCCATATGTCAGTGTATGCCGTACTGATTACGTTATTATTTCAAAACTATTGCGAATATCTTTTAAAAAACTTTGTTATTTCCTATTATCTTATATATATATTGAAATATAGATAATAATGTCAATGACATTTACATGTCAGTTATTGTAAGAATATCACCCAGTAATTAAGTTACATTTATATGATATACTAAATTCATACATGATATTAATATAAGTACTAGTTTCGTTTTCAAAAATTCCCGATTTTAAGATCCTTAAGTTCATTTAGCTGTAAAAATATTTTTTACATGCCTGTATCATGTGGTAATTTTTACTTTCTCTTTTTCTATTTCTATTTTAATTCGATATTAAATGATTCAAATTTTTTATGAAACACACGTTAAATCGTAATAAAAAAATATCAAAATTAATACTAATTAATGTGTTAGAGAATGTGTAATAATAAAAAGAATATTTTTCAAAAGAGTAAGCGATCTTTATTTTTATGAAATAATGCAAATACAAATGTTCTTTTAAGCAATCCTGCTAGAATAATATTTACATAAAAAAGACATGAATCAGAAAAAATAAATAGAAAGTATGGATCGAATATAATTAATATTACATTTCTTTTTATTTCTTCTTATACTTTAATTTCCAAAATAGAATGAACTATAATAAAAATACTTTTCACATTTATTTTATTTAAATACAATCTGTACCACCAACAGGCATATAAAAATTAATTTATATTAATTATTGTAAAGAAAATATAATTACAATATATTTTATTGTTCTTAAATATTTTAAGAAAGAATTTCAAAAACATATATATAATTAACATAATAGTAAGATCGAGAAGTCTAAGAAAATGAAAACAAATTATGATTCATTTAATGTATTACATGTATTAAAGAAAAACTTGTTAAAGACGTACTTAATATGGTCGTCTTTCAAATTGGACCAAATTAAAATATCAAGATATTCTGTCATAAATTATTACATATTGGTAAATAATTGCAAAAGTCTTCTCACTTATATGCATTATAACAATTTTGCCACACTAAAAATGCTTTGTTGTAATTAATTACTTATACTTTTCCATCTAAGAGGGCAAAATATTTTAAACTAATTGAAATTTCAAATATACAAATTTGTACATTATTAAAATAATCATAATTTAATACAAAGTAACTACAAAAGGATGGAAATGCGAGGTATGTTACATTTCATCATTGGAAAATTTTTTAAATATTTACATTTATGTAACTTATTAGTAATGTTTAAATTTATATAATTTCATGTAATGTATATATGCTACATAATATTAATACGTATAAATTCAATTCATACTTTGTCCATTGACATATAAATAATAATTATTTATTAAAATTTATATTTGTTGTATATAGATTGCATTTGCAAACATTCATTGATATCTACAGGCAATTTTTTATTTATTTCATGTAAAGATTTTTATGTTTAATAAAATATGCATATAGTATTTAGGCAGATGTAACTGTATTAAGATAGATACATGTAATCACAATAATAACATATAGATATATTTGATTTTACAAAAGTGGGAAGACTTTTATGATTGTATCCAAACAAAAATTCGCATGAAATGAAATAAAACAGGTGCTAAACATTAAATACTGTGGACTTTGAGGTGCCTTTAGTCTATTCATCATAAATCACTATCGTTAATCAATAGACATGTTATTTTCACTATGTAGAAAATAAATATAGAATATACAATTTTGATCCCTTTTAATTGCACAAATTTATATACACAATTGCACTTAATTTTGTTTTTGAATTGACTTTGTTTCTAAAAATGAGTGGTCAGAAAAAATAACTGAAAATGCACATAAATGATTCTCTTTATCTTAATTATATGTACATAGAGTAATTATCATCTATGTAAATACGTGTAAGAGAAAAATAATATTCAAGTTTGTTTTATACAAAAAGGACTGCTTGTAAGATCGAGTTATCCAAAATATATTTATTGATAAATTTGTATTACATTACAGATACAATGTTGAAAAAGTACGAAGTAAAATAAATGTTGATACTTAACAGAGAAAAATATATTTTGTGTTAATATGTTCAATATTTAAGTATTAAAAATTAATTTGATATGACACTAAATTGAGAATATTAGTTGTTTTTTCTAAAAAGAAAATAATACAATACCGAATACAAAAGTCTATTTTTTTCAATTTTTTATTCCATGTATGATATGACATACTAACAATAAATATGACTATTAAGAAACTAAATTCAATTAAAATGTTGAATGCAATATTTATGTTTTCTTTCTTTAAAATATTTTTTCTTTAGTAAATGTTATTGCTTTTGAGTACAGTATTCTGAATACGAGTGTTAACGCAATAGAGTCCACTATTTATCTAATTGTGAGAAAGATTATACATGTACGCGTAATGTAATTATAGATAATTAGAATTCTATCTCATTGCCCTCTTACATATATGCTATACATATGCTATGCATAAACATAAGTACTTAAGATAATATAATTATTATTATCAATTAATTAATTTAATTTACTTATATAAGTTTCAAAATTTTTAAAGTTGAAATTTCATACAACTAATTATTTTGTATTTTTATTTATTATACCTATCTGTTACTAATATAATTAATATTTTTTAACTGTAAAATCAATTGATCATTGAACTCAATGGATTATTCAAGATGAAGAAGAATATAAAAAAAAGTTACAATAATTTTTAGTTCTTAGATGCACTAAAGATGATGGTTCATTTTTGTGAAACGTACACAAATACAGCTATTATATACAAATTTTAAAAATGCACATAATGACAACTAAAAGGATTGGTTAAAAGATTTGAAAATATACGGAATTGAACTTATTGTATATGTGTAAATATCTACTAACTTTTATGTGACATAAGTGCATACATGGATAAAAAAACAACACAAAAGTTAGAGAAAATATTTGTAAAGAAATCGGTACAGGGGATATATACAATAGTTAATATACACATGCTATTATACACGATATAATTATATTATGTTAATTATGTAAAAATTGTACAAAACTATAAATATAGTAGTAGTTTTACATATTATATCTATTCACATATGTAGAATTCATTTCACATCGAGTTTTCAAAGAAGGAAAATAAATTACTTTTGGTCAACCATACTGATTCATTATTATTTAAAAATATAGTATTTATAGTCAATCAAAGAGTAAGTTCACATTCGCGTATATAACTTTTTATATATTTACGCAACGAATAATCATAAATGTCCAAATTGAATTATAAAGAAATAAAGAAAGAAAATTAAAAATATCTCAATGAAATTTGATGGCAACATTGTTTGATAAATTTTTATTCTGACGTTATATTAATATTTTCCACGTAGCGATTACTTTTCATTTTCTATCACTTGTGGAAGATGACGTATATGTATGTATTACGTTAGAAATAGCGTGCAAATTGGATGTTCTGTTCTTCGATAATTAGCATTGACAATTCATGACAAAATTCATTCGTTTAAGGAAATTATCATTAATGTGAAAGCATATTGAGAAATCTTGAAAAAGATTTCTAAGAAAAAAAAAGATTTCTAAGAAAAAAACAATTAAAGATCAACGGCCGAGAGAAAAAGGCATTTAGATTATATCATTATCCTTTTTCATAATACGACATTCAAATTCAGTGAAAATTCAAATGTAGCAACAATTTTCATACAATTCAAATCTTTTGCTTTATGACTGTCATGATTTCGAATAAGAACAAATTTTGCAAAGAGGCAATATTTCTCGGACATTTGATAAAAGTCCAAAATACGACTTATGAAAAATAAGTTAATAAGAATCATAAGATGGGTTATCGTAAATTAAATGGAAATTTTTCGATCAAGGAACAAGAAAATCGACATGGAGATTACATAGAAAATTCTACCGTTGTATTATCAAATGAATAACTTCTAAAATTGAATACTTCATTATTTTTAATATGAATGTAGCTAACTTTTTCGTATAATATTTCTTGATTTATATAATTTTATTCGTTTATTGTGATAGTTTACTAAGTAAACAAATAATAAGATTGATATACTTTTACTTCGAAATAGTTTAGAAATAAATAACATTAATGACATTGTTAAAGACGACAATTAAATCTTGCTTTATTAACATTTTTTTTTTTTTTTTGCTATTATATTTGATTAATCACCTTTTGCATAATAGCGATATCAACATATAGGATGTAAAATCCGACATTTTTTAATACAGTATATTGAATTTTACCTACACAGATGTTTGTAATGTTTAATTAGATTCGCTGTCAGCTTGATCCGTACTAAGGTTGGATTAGATTATTTATTCGATCGCCATAAATTACGGCAAAGTATTCGCGAAATTGGTAAAGTCCATCAATGTTGGATTTTAAGTGGAACATTCTGTAAACATTGAGGACGGCATTGCGTCTTCGACTACTCGACACCTGACGACACGTCTATTACTATAGCGAAACAGTTATAGATATAGTCTGTATAGGCAAGATTCAATGTACCAAAAATTTTTTATTAATATCCCAGAAACTAATAAAAAATTGCCGTTAAAATTCATTCTGATATTTAATTTCATTCGTTATATTCAGAGTCCTCTTTCTCTCTCCCACATCCCCTCAAAATTTCGTTTTATTCTAATGAATGAGTTATATAGACCGCACTATGTTCTTTCTTTTCACGACCTTGTATCTGATATCAAGACAAATTGAATGAACTATATGATAACGTTTAAATGACTATACTGTTATTCGTCGCGTATGCTAAATTAATTCTTGAAACGCATTTGGTTATAATATGAACTTGTATCACAAGCAAGAAGTTGAAAGTCAAATATGTTTATATTTAACATGTTGATAAGAGACATTGATGTATTGCATTGGTTTGCTACGCGTAACTGAAGAAATTTATTCATTGATGTTTCAACGTGATTACCCTATTTACTAATTATAAGAACACAATTGTATATTATCTTGACTATTGTTTTTAACAACTCTGAATGAATATACGTAGAAAAAGTGATAAAAATTGATATTTATGATCAAGTAAAAAGTATTTTTGCAATTTTTATTTTTATTGCTCCAATTCGTTGTCACGAATGTCACACACGATATTGTTGAAAACTGAATGCTTCAAAAATCCTAATTTTACGTCATTTTATGAACTCGCACTCATTTTTTACCTTAAAGGTTATTTGAAAAGGTCATTGTAAGTCGTTGACCATTTGTCTGAGAGCTTTTAAATAACATCGTATAGATGTTATTTAAAAAAATCAAGATATTGTTAAAAATCTTGATTTTATTGTTAAAAAATGATTTTTTAACAATGTTGTACGAACTCCAGTAAAATCAGAGATGCCAAGAAAAGATATGAAAAGATTGCAATACATATCTCATGCTGAGTTTTAGAAACTATACTATCTCATATCTAGATTTTACTTAATTTACATACTGAAATTCTATATGTAAATTATTATATTGTTAAATTTGATTTAATTTAAATTAAAGTTGCAAATTTAATTTAAAATATAAAATAAGTATAAAAATTAATTTACATTTTATTAATACATTCGAAAAATAATAGAAAAGAAAAAAAAGTAGTTTACCTTTTAATTGTTCTCTAGAGATATATACATAAATACGTTTAATATTCTCGTATACATAAAAAATATATTATAGTTTTAATGCGTCACGTGATAGTACAGCCATGCGTTTCTTATGCAACATGGCGACCGGCAAAGGACTTGCAATCGTTTTCCGACCAAAGACTATTAATTTAATCAGTAATAATAAATTAAATAAATTATCATGTGGTATTGTACAAAGATGTAACACATGTCAGAGATTTATTACAACAGTAGTATTGGGTGTCAATAACTGGAACTCAAAACTAACGGGAAAACGTAATGTATAGATTTAACCATGAACACAAGATTACATCATACTTTTTTTCATAATACGCATTTTAATTTAAATTTACTTATATACTAAATGTATTTTGGTGTTTTGCAAAAATTTTCAGTTTTAGATTGTATATATTGTCATAAATGTCTTGTTTTGTTTCTGCAAATTCTAATAAACTTCAAAAATGAAACATAACCTGATACTTCATAACACATGCTTTCTTTCTATTTACAGTTGTTTATAATAGTATCAAATAGATTTTTATTATCTAAATTTTGTTTTGACGTATAAGTGTAATTAAATTTAATATTAAATTTTAATATAATTAATGTAATAAATATAAATATAATTATATTATCTATATTTTATCAAAATTTAAAAAAAAATTGTTAATAAATTTACATATATATTCATTATAAAAACCATTTTTTGAGTTGCTTATTTTATTGATCATATAAATCATTTACTTTATAAATCATAAATTTATTGAAAATTGTATAATTGCAGATATAATAAAAAATGTGACCCAAATTCAAAGAGAAATACATACAACATATAAATTATTAAAGCGTAATTATTATGAAATATTGGGTGTATCTAAGAATGCTTCAGCAAAAGATATTAAAAAGGCTTACTATCAACTCGCTAAGAAATATCATCCTGATACAAATAAAGGAGATCCAAATGCAAGTAAAAAGTTTCAAGAAGTTTCAGAGGCATATGAAGTATTAAGTGATGACAACAAAAGAAAAGAATATGACACATGGGGATCTACAGCAGAACAAATGGGAATGGGCGGCGGTAGTCATGGTGGTCATAGTGATCATGCTAAAGATTTTAGTGAAGGTTGGCAATTCAGATCATCAGTCAATCCGGAAGAATTATTTAGAAAAATATTTGGAGAAGGTGGATTTCAAAGTAATATTTTTAATGATTTTGATGATTATCAAGAGTCAAAATATGGTTTTGGTGCAGCTCAAGAAGTAAGTACTTATATTCAAAATATGATAGCATGTATATATAAATAAATAATAAAATATCTTGTGAAAAATTAAAGTTAAAAAGTAATGTTTTTACGAAAATTTAGTACAAAAAGGTACATTATGTAACAAATATTTCTTTTATTGGTGAAATAGTAGAAGAGATCTTAAGTTAATTTTTTTAAATGAGATCTTATATTTTTTTATTCATAATATTATAGCAAATGTTCAAAGATATATATATATATATATATATATATATGTATATATATCATTCCATGTATTAAAATCATAAATTACTGAGATTGACCAATACTAATCGATAGGTGTCAACAATAGCGTGATTCTTCTGTCAGATTGATTCAATTTTTATTCAAGTATTTAATGTAAAAGGGATCTAAAAGCGATACATGCAAGATAATCGACTTGTTTATGATTTGACTTGTAATGTACAATTGTTATGTCTGTCAGTATTACAAGCATTGATTAATTTCGATTCTAATAATTTATAGTTTCATTACATTGAATTATATGACAAAACATAGGACAATACAGTATCAGTATTATATCTGCTATAATATGAATAATGTACAGGATCTCGAAAAAAATTAATTTGAAATCTTCTTTATTACTTTACCAATAAAAAAGGTTCAAACCACATAAACGTGATATATACCAAACTATTTTTGTGGGAATATTTTTTGATAACTTTAATTCCTCAAAAGATATTCTAATTTACATTTTAATATAACCGAAAAGAAACCTTTGGAGTTATATAGTTAATACATTTATAAATCATATTGAATCCAAAAAGTTATATACTTATTTTTTATTTCAAAAAATAGATTTTATATTTAAACATTGCATTAAAATAATAGTTTCATATTTTTTATTCTTTTTAATTTATGTTAAAGGATGACTATTCTTGTTATAAACATAAATTAAACATAAATTTAATGTTTCAATGAATGTTGCCATTCTAGAAATTTTATTTCTGATACTACTTATGCTGCTTTTATTTGGATTACTTATGCTGGATACTACTTATGCTGATTTTATTTGGATTACTGTCTTTAATTTGTTGTTTGCTCTCAGTTCATATTTTATCTGTTACTTGACTAAAGGAAATAATGGTTATCTCGAAAATAAAAAAGAGCAAGACCAGTACTGCATAATATAATTTAGAAAAAGTTACTAAATAAGTTACTTTTTTGATTTAGAGAAAGCTATTAAATATATCAGTAAAATTATTTAGTTTTTTTCTTAACATTTTGTGTATTATTATGTCATATGTGTTAATTTAAGTATTAATGAACTGCATTATAATATATATAATGTAATATGTACATTTATATACATATATATGTATATGTATATGCGCGCGCGCGCGTGCATGCACACAAGTATTAATTAACTATAGAATTTATTTTTAATTTTTAGGTTGTTATGAATTTAACATTTTCTCAAGCTGCCAGAGGAATAAATAAAGAAGTTCAGTTAAATGTAGTAGATACATGTCTAAAATGTAGAGGATCACGATGTGAACCAGGAACAAAAGCAGTTAAGTGTCAGTACTGTAATGGAACTGGAATGGAAACAATTAGTACTGGACCTTTTGTAATGAGATCTACTTGCCGTTATTGCAATGGTACTAGAATGTTTATTAAATATCCATGCATGGAATGTCAAGGAAAAGGGCAAACGGTACAAATACACTTCTATTAAAAATATTTGTTTATTAAATATTTTTATTGTAACTGTTTTATATAAAATATTTTAACAGGTGCAACGTAAAAAAATAACAGTGCCAGTACCAGCTGGTGTCGAAGATGGTCAAACTATTCGGATGGCTATTGGTAATAAAGAAATATTCATAACATTCCGCGTGGAAAAATCGAAATATTTTCGAAGAGATGGTTCAGATATACATACGGATGCCCAAATTTCGTTATCACAAGCAGTACTTGGTGGTACAATAAGAATAGAAGGTGTTTATGAGGATCATACTATACAAATTCGATCTGGTACTTCATCCCATAGTAAAATTCGGCTGAATGGTAAAGGATTGAAAAAAGTAAATGATACAGGATATGGAGATCATTATGTACAAATTAAAATTGTTATACCTACAAAATTAAATGATAAGCAACTAGCATTACTTCAAGCTTATGCTGAACTTGAAGATGATACGCCTGGAAGTATACATGGCATAACATATAAAACAGATGGTAAGAGTAAACATGACGAATCATGACACTGAGGACTGCATAACAAGTTAAACATTAAACATACAGACAAGTTAATGATATATTTATATTTCGTTTTTTTTCTTTACAATAAATTGAACATAGTTAATGTTATAGATATTCTAAATAGAATTTTTTAAATAATTTTTGTTTCTCATAAAATCAATCAATCAAATAAAATTAGAGTTGTGTGTCGCTTGAGTTTCCTCGTGTACCTGCCCTTGCTAATTAAATAAATGATGTAAAAATTTATATGTGCGTTTCATTAGTGTTTCGTATTAATAAAATACATGTTTTTAAAGAATAATGAAATTTTAACAAATTAATGTAATAAATTATGTAATAATCAAAACATTTTCATATACTTTTATAATTTACTTTACAAGTTCATTTATCCTTTTACTATGAGATTATACATACTTTTTTGGCAGGTCCAAAGGTAAAAACTCAAGCGAGACAAAATACGCAAAATGAGCAGCATGATGAAAATGGTGGTCTTCTTAATAAAATCAAGAAAGCTATATTTGGATAAAATTTGGTGAGTTAATTTCTGGAAAAAAATTAAAAAATTGTTTTTATTGTATTATTTAATTTATCTGTATGATTAATAATAATAAATTAATTTATAATTTATAATGCGAAAAAGTTTTATTCTGTATGTTTTTATACAGGAACTAAACAAAGTTATGCTGGTCCTTTGGATTTAGTGAATTCCATACGGATGGCATTAGATGACATTTCTCATATAGACTGTTCTTCTGAATGTAAAAATTCTGAAGATACTCCTCAAAATAATACTAAAGAAAAGAAAAGTAATTCACAAAATGAAGATGTTAATCCAGTGAGAAGACGAAAAGTATCTTAAATTCAATAACTAAAGAATTATAACTATAATTAGAAATAATAGTCATTTGAATACTTTTAGAAACAATTAAACAAAAGGATATAAAAGTAAATATCATATAAAAAATTCAAATTATAAACGTTATTTCAATTTGAAATAAATTGACTGTAATACACATTTTTTTAAATGTAATTATATATTGGGATTATTTGTTTAATATAGTTTGTTAATGCACTTTTGCAAATGTATTCATAAAAAGATTAATAGTTACCGAAATTAATAGATATAATTATAGTTATACAATTTGTGTAATAAATTACGCAAATCGTCATATTTTTATTTATGTTTTATCATTATATCCTTCATTCCATACTATCCAAAACAAATTTATATTTAATTAAATTCATATATATCTTATTTCATTGTTGCTAGCTTCATTTTAGATATGTTTAGTATAAATTAATTTGATGAAAAGAAAAAAAAATTATAATGTATAAATATAATTTATTAATTTAACTACATTGATTACAAATACAAAGTGCATGCAGAATAAAAACATTTCTTTTAGAAAACATTTTTTAGAAAAAAATAATTTTGTCTATTTTTAGATTGTTGATGACTTTTTATTCTATCTTATGTTGATATAATTAACAAAGATTTTCTAATACAATTCAGAGCTTAATATCTTTCCTTATTTATAAATGTATATTGTAATATAAAAATAGTATATTTTTTAAAATAATTTTTCAGTAATTAGATATTTAAATAATACACATACTATTATATATAGATTTTTTATTTTTAACAAGTAATATTATTATACTTATATTACAAAATTACATGTGTATGTATAGACTTTTTAAATTTAATAAGTGCAGTAGTTTTATTGTGAAATTATATTATATTATTTTGCAAATAAAAATAATTTTAGATGTAAATACAACAAAATGAAAAAGACTATTGACAGAGAGAGAAAAAAATATTTGTATTGTTTTATTTTTAATATTATAACATTTTATATTTTCATATTAATGTACAAAATATAATTGTTTTATTTTATTGTTCTTGTCAAAATAATGTTTACTGCATGTACAATGATTTTTACACATTAAATCTTATTATAATATAATTTTAATTAAGAAATAAAATCTGTCAATAATTAAAAGTTATGAAAAATGCAATACTTTTAAAATTTTTATCTAAGATATATAAACATATACGTATATGTACATACAATATACATACAATAACATTAATAAAAAATGTAACATAAATTCAAAAAATGTATATAAATTCAAAATATAATTTATTAATATATATATGAATTTATACGTACTATCAATTTATTATTATACTATTATACTATGACATTTATTTATTGAATATTGAAAGAAATTAAATATTTACATAATTTAAAATTAATATTTACATAATTTATGATATATGTAAATCAGGAAAAAATACATGTAATTATAATTATAATAAAAGAAAAAAGAAATCTTATTGATTCTGAGATTCATGACATATATATTTATATACAATTTTTTTATTTATTTTACATAAATATAAGCTTATTACATTATACATACTATATATTTAGCAAATATAAATAAATCATATTTTTATTCATTAGACTGCATTTATAAAGAATTTAAAAACTGAAAAATGTATGTAATGCATGGAATGTGACAAAATATATAAAACATTCAGAGTATTTATATAATTTATATATATAATTAGTGAATAAAACAGATTTCGATTTAATAATAATCAAAACTAATTCACTTTTCTAATTATGCTCACAAAAATAGAAATGCATAAAAATCTGCTATCTATTAGTTGTAATGTATTTCATGATTAAGATACATGATATAAAATAAAATAGAATAATATACTAATATACTTTTTACAAAATTTTATTCTAAAGTGGTTTTAAAATTATATTTTACTAGTTTACATATCAATTTAATATAATTTATTGAAATAAACATAAAATAATTCTTTATGAAAAATTATTTTTAAAACAATTATATTCGAAATATAAAATGTTTATTGAAAATATTATGCTTCAATTAATAAACCGTATTTGAGACCAATATTAGTCAAATTTTGAGTAGTTGATACACCTAAAACTGCAACCGCAATAGCAGCAATAGTGACTGCGCCTTCTAAATAAAAACCATATAATATTCGCACATAACCAACTATTGTTGAAAGTCCACCAGCAGCAGTAAAATCTAGAGGAAATAAAACACTTGCTGCAATTGGTCTGGATCTGGCTACTCCGAAACACAGGATTCCCAGCAGATAGTAACTGACTGTAATTTAAAATAAGTAAATTTCGTAAATAAATTTGACACTTTATAGATAGATGTTTTCAAATAATTTAATTGGAAATTATTTTTTGCAAAATAAATTATATAAATAAATTTAATAAATTTATATTCATCTATTTCTTATTCTATAAAATTAATTATTTTTTGGTTAATAAATAAAATTTTTTCATATATTTTCTTTATTTTCATATATTTTCTTCTAACTGAATAAAAAATATTTTTTTAGTACATTTAATCAAATTTTATATTTATTTGTTAGATAATATATTTTATGTTTTTATATCTTATATATGATTTATATCTTACATATGATTTTGGTAAATATGCATTTTAGTGACTTTTAAATTTTACGCCAAATGAAGCCTAGCCAAAAATAGAACCAAGTAAATAAAATAAAAAAATATAACCAAATAAATATAAATATAATCAAATACTTTAGTTTAGGATAATAGATTAAAATAAGGTAGATTTGGTTTGCAATCTCTCCTTTACCTATGCAAATTTTGAACTTTACTTATTTACGTATAAATTAAAATTTCTTTTTACAGAAAACAAAAATATTTGATTGATTTGAGTCTAAGTTTTTTACTTGACAAACAATTACTTTAACTACTTTGGTTGAAGATAGATACTTTTTCCCAAAATAATAACATATTGTATTTTTTAGTTAAAAAAATTTGATGATATAATGAAGCATTTAACACAAAAATTGTAAAGAAATAGGTAAAATGCGGAAAAATCGCAAAAATGATTTACTATGATTTTATACAATGAAACTATTGATTAATGAAGTATATAATTTTGTTTCTTTAAATGAATAATTTAATTACTTAAAGTAAAATTTTTTTGTCATATATTTTTTTTAAAATTTTCAATTTTTATTATAGATATATTTTGAATTAATTTTTAATTTCATGAATATTTTGTGGAAATATTTATGAAATTAAATGCATTTTTTTCATCTATTTCAAGGTTCAAAAATTTTTGTGTATGCTAAACATATCCTTACTAATATTAACAAAATAATATATTCAGAATAAAAATGATGCAACAATTGGAATGCAATAATAAAATTACTTAAAGTAATAGCAATGATAATTCGTCTAACAATAAGTATAGGATTATGAAGCTTATGATACTCAATGGACAGAGAGAACACAATTTGATTTCTAGAAAGGATAGTATAAGTTTATCAAGAAACAAATCAAATATATGGTTAGAGTTAGACAAATTCAGCGTATAAAATAATAGAAAAAAGTATTAATTACTGACTGATATTAGTTAATAAACACAAGGAACAATAGACAATATTATATAGAAAAGTACAAAATTTGCACCTTCGCATAAAAAGTGAACTCAACAAATATAAATATGAAATTAACAATACAACAATATAACAATTTAAATAAAAAAGATAATAAAAATACCAGAAAGATTTAAATAAAATAGAGTAGACTCATACATAAATATATAAAAAATACAGCAATAATAGTAAAAGTTTAATATATCCATTTATATGAATTTGTCAGAACAATAGTTGAATCTATACTTCTCTTTTCTTATTAGTTTTTTAATTAATAATTTTTCATTCATATAATGTGAGTTTAAATAAGTAAATTTAGCTAACAAGAATTAGGTATTGTCAATACCGAAATTTAGTCAAATAAATATTATAAAAAGTGATAGATAATAATCGATAGATAAATAATTGATAGATAAGATAAATTAGACAGCAAAATAAGAGTGGTCAGTGAAAATAGGAAATCATATCACATGCATATGTAAAAATCAAACGAGAATGTAACATAATATGTATATCAAATATGTCATACATAAAATGTAGTAAAAGAATGTATCAATTGCTAAAATTTTTGAAGAATAACAGCTGAGTATATATATATACTCTAATAAATTAGGAGATATTTCAAAATGAATATGAAGTGATAAAAAAAGAAGAAGCATTTGATTTTTTTTTTTATTAAACAAAACATCAGAAAAGCAAACGACAAGTCAAAGGAAGTTGTTCGATTATGCAAATGAAATGCAAACTCAATTATCGTGATTAAATAGTAAGTGACATATTGATGGGGTGAACAGAAACATATCAAACGAGAGTGCCACACATTGACTGGTTCAGATGGGTGGTCAGATGGGTTCAGATGGGGCATGAACAGAATGAGATTGTTCAGCAGTTCTTGTGGGATCTTCTGGCACTCTTGCTCCAGGGCAACTTCTAGCTCAAGAAGTGTTGTGGAAGACATTGGACGGTTTGCTAGATGCTTCTCAGTGTAATGTCAAGCATATTCAATGAGATTCAGATCTAAAGAACAGCCAGTCGATGCGTTCGATTCCTGTCCTGAAACATGTTGTTGACGAGATGTGCACAGTGGGGCCTTGCATTATCATCCATGAAAGGAAAGTTGTTTCCAATTGCTCCAGCATAAGGTAAATATGGTAGATACCACTATAGGATACAGGACTTCATCTCGATATCTGATAGCAGTAAGCGATCCTGATGGCATGAAAGTCGGTACGACCACCAATGTTGATGCAAGTCCACACCATGATTCCACCATCGAAGGAGTTCTTTTCTCACATGAAACGTGAATTCTCCCGTGTTCCTCGTTCACGCCAGATTGGGACTGAATCATGACTCATCAGAGAAGAGGATAGTTGACCACTGATCACAGGTTCAATGACGATACTCATCTTGTACAGGTTCTATGGTGTTTAGCAGATAACGGAATGCATACCATTGATCGCCAGGCATGCAGTCCAACACGATGGAGCTGATTTCATAGGTGCATATCCATCATCCAATGGCAGCAAGAAACTGTCCTCACAGCTCTGTTGCACTACTGCGCCTCCTTCTTGCCAATAAGGTTAAGTAGCGGTCATCTCTTGCTGTTGTGGCAGATGGGTCTCATCTTCTTCGTGCTAATCTCTTGAAAGTGATTCCACTAGTCTACTAATTATGCTTTGGAATGTTCCAAATGCTGATGCTACTGTCGTTTGTGTTTGACCACTTCAAGACCTCTAGGCTTCGCATTCGGGCAAATCGTGTTGTAGGGGCATTGCAATGGCTGGGAAATTGCAGCATGTGCACTTTCAAGATCAGGGAACATGCAGATACTCCAGTACTTTCAGCCTTTTGTATAGTGCATTT